GCTTCCAAGGTGGGAGCCTAGCTTCCACTGGGTCTTTGCTGGGGTGGGTATGACCACAGTTTTTCTGTGCTGTTTGCTGGAGGAGAGAAGTTATTGTCTAAAAAGTATATATCATGCTAGGTTGCTCTCTTCCTAACCTTTACTTATTTATAGAGAGCAGGCTCTTATTGAACTTAAAAAATAATGGTGCCTATTCATTTCCCAGTGACCTCCTTCTTCAGCTCCAATTCTGGGTGATAAGTGGGAAAAAATTAAACTTAGGGAAATAACCACTGTGTCTCTGCCCAAGTCCCAAGGTCCCCAAGGGGCCTGTTGCCTCACCACCTTTCACAACCTTCCATGTTTGCTTTACTTAGAATACCCAGGACTCTTAGCTGTACTTAGCAAAAGAAATATAGAAAGGACATCTATTCCATTTCCCCAGTAGTATAAATCTAGGTCTGTACTTCAAGCAAGACATCTTGGTGGCTCAACTCTAGAGCATCTCCTCCTTTTTCAGAGGGGAAACTGAGTCTACAGCAAGCTGACAGACCTCACCTGTGACTGAATAGTAAGTGGTAGAGTCCAGGTACCTCCCTCCTTCTCTAGCCCTAGGTCATGACAGTGGTAATCCAGTGCCTCCTCCCTCAGGCCTTGCATCTGGCATCTCCTGTAAGACACAGCTCCCTTGCACACACAGCACACGCTTATTCACATCCTGCTCGGGTGTAGATTTTCCACTCAAGGAAGTTTTACTTCTCTAAGAAGAACAGGTTCCTGCAGGCAGAGACCAAGCTCTCAAGCTCATCCTGTTTCCAGCAGGTTCTCAGTGAAGGATTGCTGCTGACCTCTCTAAATAAAGTCAATGTATCAATTTTTGGTAAGAGTTGCATCTTGGTTCCTCCAGGTGAGTTGCAGCCAGACACCACCTTGAGGATGGAGATCAATCGCATCTTCTGGAAAACAGAGGCACCCGTGCAGGGAACAGCAGAGGCAGCACCGTTCAACAGGACGGTGCTCAGGTCTCAGAGGCACAGCCAGGGGAATGAGAGTCCATACTTAAAGTGTCCTATTATGTCATGGCCTTGCACTGTACTCCTCACTCAGCCTCTGTCAACAGAGGCCATTCCCAACTCCCAGTTCCTAGCCCAGTGCCTGGCACACAGGTGGCTCTCCAAGAACTCACTGATTAGATCAATGGAGAGAACAAATGTGTATGCAAAGGAATGGCCCAACCTTGACAAAGGGATGAAGCTATAAGAAGCAGGTTATTTAACATTTAAAAGAAGACTTTAACATTAAAAGAAGACTTTCTCTGGTAGAGTGTTGGGGGGAGACCAGGAGCCATGAGCAAAGGAGGAAGGCTAAGTCTATCTGCTGGAGGTAGTGAGAAGGTGGTCTGGGATGAATCAAGGAAAACACTAGGATGTCCTTTGAAGGAGTGAGCTCCCTATTACTGGAAACATCAGCAGCTCCAGAGTTCCTGTACTCTGTGTGTGTGTGTGTGTGTGTGTGTATGTGTGTGTGAGGTGGATCAGGTGAGCTTTGAACTGCTTGTCATCCTGACCACCCATGCCTGGAGGGTTGTCTAAAGACCTGCTGAGCTCTGAACTTGATGTGGGAAAGAAGAGGTCAGCTTCTACCAGAGTGGGGCACCCCAGAGGTCTGGATTTCCCTATTCCGAGCACACAGAAGGCTGCTACGTTTTTAGTGTGCTAATGGTTGGGGGTGGGAGCACGTGACCAGTTCTGAGCAACAAGCAGAGAGAGTAAGCGTGTGTGTTCCCTCCAGGTTGCAGCATCAAATTGCTGAAGGGAGACCTTCCAGGGCTCTTTCCCCTCCATCATGACAACTGATTCAAATGGCAACTGCTCCCTCAAGCTGGGTCCTGAATGTGCTGTTGAAAGTTACTGTTTGTTGCTGCATCATAATGGTGGCTATACTGACTAGTACCAGGGGACAGACTTTAGCTGTATGGAACACTAGAGAAAAATATAAGCTCTACAGATACACAACAAGATGGATGCTCCTGCATCTCAAAAGAGAGCAGACACCTCCATACACACTACCCATATCCCCTACCACCCAGCAACCCCAAACACCACCCTCTACTCTGTATGTGCTTTCCTGTTGCCCCAACATACCAACATCATACCTAACTTTAAGCTCTGCTAACTCCTTTAATCTTCTGTTCTCTTCTTTTCTGTCTGGTCAAATATCCAACCCTCTCTTGCAGATCAAGTCTCATGTTCTGCAAAATGTGTCCCTGTTCACAAAGACCAAGAGAACCACACTTTGGAAGGTCAACAGGACATGTGGTCAGGATATCCCTTGGAGGGACTTCACATGTATGTCTTTAGCCTGTGTCATGTTAGCTGATCTCTATTCCACCAACAGGTATCGAGTTGGAAGGGTCCTGCTCATTGGTGTAGCCAAACTCACAGCAGATGCTCAGTAGGTCCTGACTGAATGGCGCAGTGCCATCAACATGTTCATGGTACTTCTAATACATCATGGAAACTGCCAAGAAACCTAGGCCCTTTCACCAAGTTACCATTTGTACTAATGAGTTTTTATACTGGCACTAAACCAAATACTATAATTAGTGGAGAAGCACCAGAGACTGGCCAAAAACTCTTTCTACCCTTTTTTTTGAACCAAAGGCAAGGGGTGTATTTGAGGTTTTCCTGTGCCATCTGCCATCCCTCGTCAGAGTCAGTGCTGGCATGGAGCATGTTCCCCGCCTGCAAATTGGCCCAGGTAGGTGGGGAGCAGTGAAGAAATCAGGAAAAAGTGGACCTCCTGCTGCTTTGAGCAACTGTTTGGCTCCAGTTGGTCATTTCATGGAAACACAGAATATAAACAATAAAAGAAATTTTCCAGGCAGGCTCAGGGAAGTCCACACTTCCTAATGCTCGATTCTGCAGAAGAGGTACTTGGTATGCAGGGTATGCAGGCCACATCTGGGTCAGCATCTGGTTTTCCTGACTCTTGGGAAAGCCCTTTTCATTCTTCCAGCACTTTGATTTGCTACCAGGCATCATGGTAGAACAGGGTGGGTGGGGAGCCCTTTTCTTATCATTCCAGAGGCTGTGGGATCACAGGCTGTTGGCCAGGCTCGAAGACATCATTTCTGACACCCCCCCACCTTCCCCAGGGCTTTGCATGAGCCTGCCCAATAAGGAGGTACACTCATCATGTACCCAGCAAACATTTCATCATCCTGTTCTCCTGCCAGCAAGCTCTGAGGATAGCAAGTCCTGCAGCAGAAAGTCCTTCTCAAGGGCTGATAAGAGGCTTGCTGCTGTGGTGCACATTCATTTCCTTTTCTTGGTGCTTCCCTGCAGACAGAGAAGAGCTACTCGTCCTGACCCCATTCAACCTTCTGTCTGTCCTGGGCTGTGTCCCTGAGCTGCAACCCGTGCTGGCATCTTGAGATGTCTTCTCAGTGCGCTGGGCTGTGCTTTCCCACTCAGCCGCCTGCCTCTAAATCGTCCACATGCACTACAAGGAAAAGCTGAAAACTGCATTCCACCCCCCTAACCACCTGACAAGTGATGGATAAGCTCGCGTAGAAAGTCATAGGGCCGAATCCCAGGGGAGTCCTTGCAAGGATACCTAGCATAGCGAGGCATGAGATAGGGCCAAGCTGGGGGGTTTGAGGAACACAGGTGAGAGGAGAACACTGGTGTCTTTATCTGCAGATGGCATGAGGAAGCTAGGGCCCTCAGTGACCTCCGAGTCACCGCCCTTTATATGAAGAAGCTGAGAACAAAGAATTGCTACAAAGTTTGGGGCAGTGAGGACCTGCCTCCTCATCTCCTGGCTCCCGGGCTCTATCATGGCCCCTCCTAAATCCTCTCACCCTCTGCATCTCTGGTCTGTACCCCAGCTCTGTACGAATAAATAAATAAATCTTAAAAAAAAAAAAAAAAAAAAAAAAAGACATCTGGCCAAGCGAGATGACTCTCCAGAGCAGCTGCTCCCACCCCCACCAAGGTGTAGGAAAGCTCTGCAGCCTAAGAAAGATCTGGAGCTGAGGCCCCTGGCCATCTTGCTTCCAGACAGAATAGATAAGAACTGGTTTAATCAATAAGTAAGTGAGCCAGGGCAATGTGTTAATGTGGTCACTTTGAACTGGGAGCAAGTTGTTGCCAGAGCCCAGAAAGGTTCCTTTCATCCCTCGGTGCAGGCACAGTGGGAGGATGGGCTGGGGTTGAGGATAAATGCTTTTCAGTCTAACCCCACTGTCCTGACAGGCCGAGCTGATCTCAGCTAGAGCACTGGACAGCAGAGGGCAGACAGGCCCATGGGGCCCTACTGGCCACGCAGGCGCTCCCTCGGGTCCCCCAGCGCAGCAGCAGCAGGGAGACCAGTCGCCAGCCTGGTCCAAACACAACAGGTTGGCCATGGAGAAATGGACGCGTCTCCGACACCTCTTCCCACAGGCTGCCCGTCAGGCTCTTTGCCAACCAGAGACCCCCCCACTGATTGTGGGGCTCATCAACACTGATCCATGAACTTCCAGCTCATTCATCTTATTGTCGCTTAAGGGTGGTCGCATCTAAGGTGGTGACAGCGAGCTGTCTCCGAGTGTGGGTGTGTCATGGGCTTGTTCCACAGAGTCTGGGTGGCGTGGTCACACTCTGTGATGCTCCTATAAGCCCAACTCTCCTACAGGCGCATTTCTCAGCAGGTATCCCAGTTGCTAAATGACACGTAACTGCCTCCCCTGGGAAGAGGTACTCCAGATATCCCATATTTATCACAGCCCTTCTCGTCTCAGTGGGTGTTTGGTTACTTGAATGTGTTTGTTATAAATCACGTTACATTGAAAAGACATCTACGAATATCTGTTCTGAGGAGGGAGGCGGCACTGTGGGCTGGGTAGTCAGAGGCCGACTGCACCCGCCCCTCTCCTCTCTCCTATTTTCTCCACACCGCTGCTTCTTGTCTGCATCATGGGCCAGCCAGACAAGACAAATGCCAACCCCGCGAGGGAGCACAAAGTGGTTCCCTACCTGCTGTGGCGGGGCTCGCCCTTGGGAGAAGGAACAGCTGCTGTCCAGCTGCACGCTGCAGTTCGCTGTCCACTGCAGGGGAGAGAGGAGAGGTCAGTGACGACAGGACACACAGGATTATCCTCACTCTGCCTGGCACCCAGGCCTGGCTCTGCCCTTGTGCAGTGGGGCCAGTGCAAAATCTTGCTCAGCCATGTTCAAGGGCACGCCCTTTCCCATCACTGGGCCAGGTTGGCATCTCCCAGGGACCCTTTGGGGAATGCTTGGGGAAGGCAAACTTGGCCTGCTAAAGCGATGAAAACTCAGCTACATTCCAAAGTCAACCAGAAGTCACTCAGGGCCTCTGATGAGTTTTGGTTGCTTGACCCGACTTCAGCCATGTTAGCTCTCTACAATGTCAAGCTGGAGTCAGAGGTGGGTGGGGCGTGAGTGTGTCTACTCCCCCACCCCCACATGGGTATAAGAGGGCCCACTTGGGAAGAGCTAGGCTGGAATCCTGTCCCACCACTCACCACCTAAGAACTCAGAGTCTGGGAGGTCGCTGGGCTCTGCCTGCACCCAATGGCTCAGACTCTCTGAGGCATCAGTGGTTTGACCAGACAAGACCAGTGTCCCCACTTCCCCTCTCCCAGTAATGCACCTGAGCTCTGAGAGCCACTGAAAGCTGGGTGCTCTCCCAGGCTTCACTTCATTATCTATAAAGTGGGGACAGGAAGGCTGGTGACCGTGCGAGGTTGAGGTGAGGACCCTTGGAAACAGCACAGAGACACAAGGCAGCATTGCAGAGTGCCCTCCCTGCTCAGCGCTGCACATTCTCTGGTGTATGAAGCATCTGCGGGCCTCTCCGGCTCACGTCCATCATTGAGCTTGACCTGCACTATCTGTCATTCCTCAAAGTTGTGAGGACAGCTGCTTCCTGTTTGACACACCTGGTCAGAACTGAGTGAGTGTGAATGCACAAGACTGACACACCCTCCTGACAGTGGGTCAAGGGCGTGACCTTCATGTGGGAAGGAGACTTTATGACAAGGCTGATGACAGAGGCTGGCTGGTACAAGTGTATTCCAGCTGCAACAAATGAGAGTCACAGACCGGAGACACAGATGTCATCTGAACTCATCTAGCAGCCAAATTGTTAAAAGAAATGAAAAAGTAAAATAAAACATAGAATATATTTGATCTCAATATATCTAAAATGTTACTTCAATAGACAATTAATATAAAAATGGTTCATGAGGGCCCTCCCTGGTGGCGCAGCAGGTTAAAGCACAGCACTAAGAAGCTAAAGCCACCTCAGCACAAGTTCAATCACCGCCTGCCCCGGAGCTGACCCACATGGCACGCAGACCTCTCCTGACCCGCCCGCTGCTCCCCTCAGCAGTGTATTTCAGTTAATCTGCCTGTTCTGCTCCCCACTCTGTCTCTGGTGAATCCTCTCACCCCCCCTTCACCTCTGGCCTGTACCCCACATGAGATATTTCATGTTCCTTTTTTTATTTTATTATTATTTTTTAACATCTATTTATTTATTTGTGCATACAGAACTGGGATACCTCCGGGGCAGGCGGGGATCAAACTCATGCAGAAGTGGCTTTCGCTTCTTAGTGAGGTGCTTTAACCCATTGCACCACCAGGGAGGGCCCCATATTTCTTTTTTTTTTTTTTAAAGATTTATTTATTCATACAGAACTGGGGTACAGGCCAGAGATGCAGAGGGTGAGAAGATTCACCAGGGACAGAGTGGGGAGCAGAATAGGCAGATCGATGAAGTACACTGCTGAGGGGAGCAGCGGGCGGGCCAGGAGAGGTCTGCCACGCCATGTGGTCACCTCCGGGGCAGGCGGGGATCGAACTCATGCTGAAGTGGCTTTAGCTTCTCAGTGCTGTGCTTTAACCCGCTGCGCCACCAGGGAGGGCCCCCCATATTCCTTTTTTTAAGTGAAGGTTTTGAAATGCATTTAGAGCAGAGGTCACGCTAGACCGGCCACAGTTCAAGTGCTCAGAGTCCCATGTGGTCGGAGGCTTCCGTGGTGGAGCAGTGTCTTCTGGGAGGCGGCACCCACTGGTGGCTTTGCTGGGTGAGTGTGCCCTCTGGCACTCACCCACCCCTGTCCTGCCCTGCAGAGGGCCTGGCCACCTCTGCACATTCCCAGGCTCTGTGTTAGCTATCCACTGAGCTCGCCCGAGGGAGCCAAGATGAAGGGAAACACCCAGGGCGTGTCCTCCCTCTCCATACCCCTCGGGTGGCATTGCCAGTCACGATGCGTCTCCTTCCTGAGGCCACCCCTCACTTCTGCCCACGGTCCGGACCCCGAAGTCTAGCCTTGGCGTCTCCCTCAGTGCCGAGGCCTCGCGGAGCTAACAGCCTCCTGCAAGGGCTGACCTCTGGGTTATGTAGTTTCTCAACTTTTTTTACTATCTTGGGTAACTAGTTCTTTCTGGGAAGCTGCTGGATCACAGCATCTCCCCCAAGATACTTATTCACATGGGGAGCCGGGAGGACAAATCCATGAGGCACCACCTTAACCCAGCAATGGAAGGCAACATTGTCTACCCACACCATGGCAGCATCATGGACTCCCCAACATCACGAGTTAGCCAAGCACATCACCCTGAGGTGTCTGTACCAAAAATGCACAGCTGCTGTCTAATCAGGAGAAAACATCTGGCCATCCAAACTGACCAACTTTCTACAAATAAGTGACCAGCGTTCTTCAAAAAGGTCAGAGGCGGGAAGAGAAGACAAGGAAAATGTCACAGTTTGGAGGAGGCTACGGAGACATAACAATTAGAGGCAAATTTGCATCTTGAAACAGAGAAGGGCATCCGTGGAAAACTGGTGGAAGTCGAATAAAGTCTCACTGCACAACTACCAATTTCTTAGGGCTGCCAATTGTATTCTGGTTACATAAGATTCACATTAGGAGAAGCTGGGTGACAGGTTGATGAGAACACTACTATTTTTGCACTTTTACTGTCATTCTAAAATAATTTTTCAAAGTAATATATCTACGTATACATACATATTTTGAATTACATATGTACATCTACAACACATGCAGACACACACTGTACGTAAAGTAACATGCACACACACAGACCCCACAATTGCTTTATGTTCTAGTCTGGCTCCCCCTTTCCTGGTTGGGGCCCGGCTAGAAGGGTTGGGGTCAGCCCCTATGTGGCCACCGGCTGGGAGATGCCTAAGTCCTGTACTGCTCATCCCAACCTAGGTAACCTTGGAGAGAAAGCCTCTCCCTTCTCCACACCCCATCTTCTCCCCCACCCCGTTTCTGGGCATCCCAAACACGCAACCTGAGCTGCATAGTGCTGATGTGACATCCCACAGGAGGCTGGCTCTTAGGTGGGTGCCCCTCCTCCTGGGGTCAGCTTGTTCCCTGGCAGGGGACCCAGGGCAGGTAGTCACAGAGAGGAGGCCAGGGGACAGCGCCAGCCACCCTCACGCTCCTGGTTAAGCTTGGCAGGAACAGTTCCAAGCTCCCATGAGACCACTCTGCTTTGTCAAAGGCCATTTCTTACTGTATATGCCACTAACCTGGAGAGATGTCCAGTAACTGTACTGCAAAGGAGGTGGGGGGCGTTCTGATAGACAAGGAACTGTGTGCTCTTGGCGGGGGGTGGCCACGGAAGGAGGGGTGAGGTGCAGGGAGGAAGCCCAGCAAGCCAAGATTCCTGGAGAAGAATCTGGAGCCTGGGCATAGAAAGGGGCAGGTGGTGGCAAACGTGCCTCTCCTGCTGCGGCCAGAGACTTCTCCTGGGGAAAGCAAAGGCTCCAGTTAGGGGAGGCCCCGTGGCCCAGGGGAGAAGCAGGCGGAGGCTAGCTAGAAGGACCCAACATTCAGGTTTCTGTTGTACTGGAGGTGGAGAGGGAAGCCAAGTGGCTCTGAGAAGGTGGTGAGGTAGTGAGGGTCTGCATCAGCGGGGGGGTGGCCAGTGGGGGGAGGGGTGGGGCCAAGAGGGCAGAAGGTGAGGATGGAACCCCACCCTGACTGCTGGCCAGGGCTGGCTGGGGAAGCTGTTGGAGGAGGGGGAGGGTCTAAGGTCCACAGCTTCCCAGAACCTTCCACCACCACAAGGAATTATGTGGGCAGCCTTGCTCCCCCTAGGGAAGTGTTCCTGTTCCCCCTAGTGCAAGCGTTCACCCTCCTGCCCCTCAGCCAGGGGCAGCGCCAGGGACAGGCTACTCCTTGCTGCTGCCTGATGAGCCCCAAGGGGCCAGTGTTTCTTCCCTGGCCCTGACAGTCCCTGGGAGTCTCCCGTCCCCCCAGAGCTCCTCTCCCTTCCCCCCAAAGCTCCTCCCTGCCTCTGCTGAATTCTGCTCTCAGCGCTGTCTCCTTTCTTCTTAGGCTGCAGCTACCACCCCACCCCCACCACTGCCTGTTCAGTCTAGAAAAATCTCCAGACACCGACCTTCCCCAACCTGTCCTGTGCTCAAGAGGATTTCATAGGAAGAGAGGGCCCTCCCTTCCCGAGTGGGTCCCCAGATAGGGGTCCCACAGGAGACTCTTCTTCAAGATAAATGGGTTCACAGCTGGGGAGTAGAGGAGAGTCCTCCTGAAATGGACGTGGAACAGAAAGAGGAAGCAAAGTGGAAAGCTTTATGTAGGGGAACACACGCTGACCCCACCTGAGCCTACCGTGGCTGAGGGTCCGCACAGAGCTGTTACCATCTATTTTTTAATTTCAAAATCTGAGATAAGAATGACACAGGGTTAAAATTTAATAAACAAGAGGCTACAGATGTTTATTCTCTGCTCTTATTAGTCATTTAAAATAAATGAGTTCCAATCTGTTATCTGTCATCTCCATCCCAGGATCCACCGTATTTTTTGGGAGCTGTCTGTGAAGTACTGGGGTGGGGGTGGGAAGAGGGCGTGAGCGGGGGAGGGGAAAGGAAAAGGATAGCTTGAGGGAGCCCCACTTTTCAAGGGTACCTGCATACACCCACCCCGCCCCCATAGGGTCTGGCCCTTTCAGATACTGGAGCTGAGCCCTTGGCTAGAGCCACTGCCAGCGAGTCAGAAGACTAGACACAGATGGGCCCAGGAAGGCTAGTGCTCTGAGTTGGGGGGGTGGGGGGGGAGGGGAGACATCCTACAGGCACAACCAGCTGGCCAGGAAGGCAAAGTACCCAACATGTCTACCTCACCTGGCCCTGGAAAACATTCCAAATTGATTCAAATCCAAGATACAAGTTTATACTACACCCATATCTAGAACTGCGTGACAAACGAAATCATGAACAGAATTAAAGACAAGCAAGAGGCTACGTGTATAACAAAAGGTTTGTAGTGTTACAGGACAAGGAGAGAGGGGCACCACTGAACCCCAAACCTGCCTGCTCTAAGTGGGTTCTGCCATCTGCTGCATCAAGACAAAACATATAAAACTTTAATGAAAAGGGACTTTACTACAGTGAGTATACAATACAGAAAACAACGAATATAATGTCTAAATCAGACACCTGAAGTGACCCATCCCCTCGTGGGCAAAAGTCAACCCAAAACGGACTGGCGCAGAGCAAGGCCCGAATGTCCGTCACAAGCCTAAAGCACCTTCTGGCCGGGACCCATAGAAAAGGGTCAGAAATGGCCAGACAAATCTGGGAGGAAAAGAGCAACATCAAAATCAATATAAACACTGCCAGAGTCACCTCCCTACAGGTCTCTCACCCACATCTGCCTTAACCAGTCCAGGGCCAGGAAACAAGCACGGTTTCCTCATCACATGTGCTCCATGTGGCTTCCTCAGGTCTCCTTCTGGCTCTCCATCCAGCTTCCTTCTTTCTCTCTTCTGATTCCTTCTCTCTCTTTTTTCTCTGCTCAGCTCCACCCTCCTTCTGGGTGGGGCAGGGAACCTGTAACTTCTCTTTTTCCTAGGGACCACCCTGTTACAGTGGGACTACAGAAAGGTCATTGCTCCCTCTAGGGACACTGCTCTAGACGTGTAGCCATAACACTTCCCTGCCTCCCCCCCCCCAGCACTTCTATTATCTGCACCTGAAAGTGAGGCAAGGCCTGGTTAAGCAACTCACCCGGTGACATGGCCCACAAAAGATGGAATGCTAATGGGTGTAAGGAGGTATTAATGCAATTGTTCAAATTATTTTTTTAGTGTTTTGTTTTGTGTGTGTGGAGAGGGTGGCTAGGTACTAATTCAAAGAGCCAATAAAAATGTCTGATACCAAGTGTTTTTAGTAAGGTGTAAAACTGCTCCCTGTTCCCTGCCCAGCAGGCAGGTCTGGGAGGCTGGAACAGATAAGGAAATGCTGGAGCTGCCTTGGGGACAGGTGATGAGATGGGCCACCAGGCCAGAGCCCAGCCCAGATCCAGGAATGCAGAAACAGTGTCAGGACACACCCTGTGCCAAAGGTCGGCGCCCAAGACCAGGCATCCCAGCAGACAACCGGTGCAACTGGCACCTCAAGTTAGAAAGTCCATGGAACAGCATGAAAGAGCCTCAGCTCCTTCAAGCTCAACCTCCCTGGTCTTGCCCTCTGCCTCTTCAGTCTTTCAATAAATTTACCTTTTTTGGTCTCCACTTGGTCCCTGTTGTATCAGGAGGCAGATTTCCCTTTTCCTAAAAGACTCAACAATATGCCACCAGTCCCATATTCCAGTGTGTTCATCCACCCATCGAGCGTCCCCAGCCTTGGGCTGTTGTGAATGATGCTGCTATTCACCACAGGTGTGGTGTGCAAGGGCCCAATTAATCTTGGCTTTCACTTCTTTGGGGTCCACAACCACAAGCAGAACTGCTGGGTCATGTCTCATTCGGGGAAAGTACTTAGAATTTTTTGTTGCTGATACAAAGGATCTCATTGGGAGAAGTGGTGAAACATTAGCTCTGTAGATTAAATAATAGTACTATATCAATGTATATGTCCCATGCCGTGATTCTGTAGGAGAAAGACTTTGCCCCAGGAAACACACGCGGAAGTATTTAGGGGTAAAGTAGAATCAAATCTGCAAATCACACTTAAAAAGATCAGAAAAAAACTGCCTAGAGTCAATCAGTCTGTCTATCCATCCATCCCTCTACAGACCTAAAGCGAAGAGTAAAGAGATGGGGCGGGGTCCGGGTGGGAGAGGGACAGAAAGTGCTGCAGTAAAATAGTGACATTTGGAGAATCTGGGTGAAGAATATGCAGAAGCTCTTTGTCCTATTCTTACAATGTTAGGTACCGCTGCAATCATTTCCAAGTGACACTCATGGGAAAAGTCATGCTATCCAATATTTCTTAATCACAGGGGTGTCAAAGTCACCCCATGAGCAATTTGAGGTTGTGGGAGCCACCACTCTTACCCAAGACCCTGCTTCCTTGTGAGGGGCCTGAGAAGAGGCATGGCTTCCTTGGAGCCCAAGCACTGGGTGGCCAGCAGCACAGTCCTGTCGGCCTGAGACCAGAACTTCTCAAAGGTGCACGTCCAACCACCTGTTACCCTGGCGTGTGGCCCACTGACCAGAGAGAAGGGCCAGGAGGGGTGGTGGGACTGAGACCTCTGGCAGGCAGCTCTTGCTCCATCCACAGGGCCTCTTGGGAAAGCCGGGAAGGAGGCTGCCAAGGGTGGGGGTTTGAGGAGGAAAAGGGGCTTCTTTTTTTCTCCTATCTTAAATAATTTCCCATTGTAGAGACAGCATGCCACAGTGACGAAGGGCTTTGGTTCTTAAAGCAGTCAATCTTGAATTCATACTCCTGCTCTATCACTTATCTTATGACTCTGGGCAAGTCACTTCATTCCTAAGACTCGGTTTGTCCCACCTGGAATAGTAACAGAATTGACCTGTAGCAGGGATGTTAAGTATATGGCACCTGGAGCCAGACCACCTGGTTCGAACCTCAGTTTGGACACATCTTTCCTGGGTGACCCTGATTCAATTCTCTGGGTCTCAGTTTCCTTCCCTGCAAGCTGGCAACATCTTCATGGAATTGTTATGAAGAGTAGATGAATTAACATGGAAATGTGGCAGTCTCCTTTCTTGACTTGGGGCTCCATCTTTGACCCTCTTCTCCAAATCCTTGGGTTTAAAATATGTCATCTATTTTAAAATGGAAATATCAGGTCATCACCACCACTGGAGGTCCCTCTGCACACTTAAATGTTTGTGTATTACAACAGCTGTCACTACCTTACACCACTCACATCCGAAACTTGAAATCTCGTGGCCTCCCTGGTGGCCTAGGCGTTAAATATCAGTGCTACCACCGCGCGACCTGAGTTCGATCCCTGGCCAGGGAGGTGACCCCCGTGGCACAGCAGACATCTCTTGTCCCACCCTTTGCTCCCCTCAGCAGTACATTTCAGTTTGCCTGTCCTGTCCCCCACTCCCTCTCTGGCCTGTACCCCATTTCTTCTAAGCAAAAATAAATAACATTTTTAAAAATAAAACAAAACCTGAAACCGTGGTCTTTGCACCCTGAAGCTGTTCTTCCAGGGTGTTCCATATGTAATTTCTGCAAACTCTGGTCTCTTTGCTTAAATTCAAATCCTCAGGCCCTCTCATTAGAAAATTGTGTTCTCTATACCTTTAAAGCATAAGCAAACCCGACTGCTTCTCCACACCTCCACCGTGACCACCTGCTCCCAGTCACCACCATCTCCACCCAGACCTTCATCACCGAAAATTCGTAGCACATCCAGTGTGAGATTCTCTGCCCCATCCCACCCTGCCCCTCCTCTGCCACGCTCCAGCCAGCCTCGTCTCACCAGCCTGGTCCCTCTATGTCCCTCTGCCTTGGAGTCTCCTTCTGGTAGGATCCTGCTACCCTTCTCCAGATCTCGGCTCACAAGTCCTCTCCTAAGAGAGCCGTCCTTCACAAGGTAGTATTCCCAGCCCACCTTCCTCCATGCATCATCTTGAAACACCTAGTTCCTTCTTAGTCTCTTCCCCCACAAAGTAAATGCTGGGGAGACAGGAATTATGGTCCATTCTGTCCACGACTTTGTCCCCAGAGCCTAGAACAGGGCCTCAATCAATGTTAGCTCTCATGGTATTGTGCTATTTCACCACTAGTAACTGGCAGGAGATGAACTGATCAAGAAATTCTGCTTTATGTTGAAACCACCAATACCTAGAATGGCGTGTTAAATAAACAAGTAAGCTAAAAATTAGATGTACGCTAGAAGCATAATTTGGGGGGGGGAGGGAAGTCAACATTTTTGTCATAAAACTGTGGTGGCACATCTCTGTTTTTAGAAGGCTTCTTTATCCATTTACTGATTTAAAATCACATAAAATTTGAATTTATTTTTTAAAAGGCTGGTTAATTGATTAAAAAAAAAAAAAGGACTCAACTTCATCAGAAGTCAAGTTGGGAGACAATTTGCCCCAATGCCCTCTAGTGGTGGGTGCATCGGAACAGCGGTGATGAAGAGCAGGTTGGCAATAGCTATGAAGATAGGTTCTGCTTCCCAGAATCTTCCTCACAAAACACTTTGTGGAAAAGGAGGCAGATTCAACAGGGGGAAAATCTGGAAGTAACCTGTTCAGCAACAGATGGACAGACCACAGTTAGATGAGTTCCTGAACAACATGGTCACTACTAGAAAATAAGATTTTTTAATAGTCCATTTCTACAAGCTATAGTATTTGTATCTTGGAAAGGTGAGGCAGAGGCGAGAAAGCTAACCCACTAATCTGATGGAAGGTAGGGAAGGCAGTCAAGGGAATCCTATCCCTGCTGTCTGATTTCTTATGGGCCGTGAATATAGTATGTGCAATTAAAAATAAATGATTTTTTTAAATAAGAAGACCAGAGTGAGTCGCCCATGCTCAAGCACCCCACAACCCCCCTTAACTCACTTCTTCTGTTAAGCTTTTCATGGGTAGTCCACCATTGAGCGCTTCCTCCTACAGCAGAGATGGCAGGGGAAAGGGATTCAAAGGGCAGGAAGAAATTAAAGATTGGGAGCAGGAACAGGGCAGGCGGATGAAAGGAAAAGCATGGAAGAGAAAGAGAAGGAGAAACTGTGAGAGAGACATCGAGTCAACTTGAATGCAGAGCTTCCTCAACGTACAATGGAGTTACACCCCAATAAAGCCACGATCAGCTGAAAGCATCTTACTTAAGGTGGAAGAGCCAAGTCTGGCCGCCATAGCTCCTGAGACTCCGCTGTCTGCATGGAGTCACTTCACACTGTCGTGAAGTCCAGCCTTTGCAGGTTAGGGACCTGGGCACCCTTGCCCACCCCGCAATGTTCTCATGGTTGCATTTCTCTTTGTGAAGGCACCTTACATCACGGACAAAAGCCAGGACTCCCAAGCAGCATTAAGTGCTATGGGACGTTACCTTCACTCTCACTGGCTCTTAATTTGACCCTCATCGGCTCTTACTAAGAATTGGTGAAAGAATGGCCTTCAGCAAATGCATCTGCTCCCTTCAGTACCCCAAAAGCCCATCCATCCAAGGCAGTGGTGCAGCAGGCCGTTGCCATGGAGAGGTGGGGATGGGCCTCGGTGCTGGCTTTCTCTGCCAACCTCAGCAGGACATCAGTCACATGGAGACTGATGTGGAGGCCAAGGCCAGGCCTTCCCATTCAGCTGAACTCCGGGTGGGTCTGTGTGATTCCAGTGTGCAGCCAGAGCAGAGAACAGGAGAGAGAAGTGCAGCCAGGCTCTCCCCACCTACAGCTCCCCGCCCCCCCCCCACACCCCCTGTTCTCTCCTACTACAGGCCAGTTGTCAATGAGACTTTGGAGTCTTCATTCTCACTCCATAGGGAAAACATCTTAACCATCCAACAGCTGTTAGTCACAGCCTGTACCCAGAAGAAATCTGGTGGGAGGGGGCAGGGCCAGCCACAGAGGAGTGGTCAGCCACTGCCCACCTTCTCGCCAGCAGAATAGGGCTACAGCCCTCCTCCTTCGAAGGGCAAAATGCACAACTCCAGGGTGTGTCTGTGGAGACTTGGAACCCACAGGAGGCAAGGCACCCCTGAGATGTGGGGAAAGGGTATTTCACCTGCCCAAAGTTTTTGTAAACTTAAGACTGTACCCTCTCTTGTTACTCAGCTAAAGAAAAAGTTTGTTATCCATTCATCCGTCCAGCCACTAGTCTGTCCCTCGATCCAGTCACCCTTCCTTCCTTCTAATGGCTGCTTCAAATAAGAGGAAAACTCAACTGAGTGTCGCATGCTCAATCTCCCCACCGCTCTCCTTAACTCTCTTCCGTTAAGCTTAAGCTTTACATGGGTGGTCCTACCCTTCAGGGGGAAGGAGAACCCCACCAACCTCGAAGCATTTTTCTCCTTCAGTGTCAACGGTCATCTCTCAGCCCCTAAGAAATGACCTCACCATCTAAAAAGCAACATTCTTCTCCACTCCCTCAAGTTTTCTCAAGGTTTCCAAGATTCTTTCCTCTCCCAGAAACATCAAAACACCATGGCAGACAGGCAGACAGGACATTCTCCGAGGGTTTGTTTTTTGCTTTTGGCCTCCATCCAAAACAGTCATCAGATTAAATAAAAACAAGCAAAAGTGCTTCAGCAGAAAGCTTTCCCATAAAGCTGTGTCAATAGAGAGCTCATTTTCAAAAAAGTGTGTTATCTGATCCTGGCCTGGCTTAGCCCTGGCCGCAGCAGCCCCTCCTCTGACTTGTGCCCGGCAGGCTTTGGGCGTATCCGTGGGGGTTGGTGGGGAGCAAGACAGTGATGTCCCCCTCTGGCCTGCCGCTGCAGCTGAGCCCTGGGGTTCTGCCAAGCACTGCGTTCATCCGCGTAACTTCAGGGAGGAAGCTAAGGCGCATGTCCAGACCTCACAGCGGCCAGGTTTCCACACCCTGCCTCCCGGCACGGCACGCAGCCATCTGAAATCCCCAGAGACCATCCTCTCTGGCCGGCCCGCATCTGGGCGTCGGAGTCTGGGGAGGGTGCTGGCCTCAGGAGGGTCGGAGGTGTTGTGAGCGCACGCGTGGCTGCCTGCTCTGCCTCCTTGGTAAGCCCCGGTGCAGAGCTGGAGGAAAACCATAGGCTCGCTCTGGCTTCCCAACTGGCTGGCGGGTCTGGGCCTTCTGCCCAGCCAGACAGGGAGCCAGCCAGGCTTTTGGCTTTTCTCAGCGCAGGGCACCAACGCAGGGCACCAAGGGGCTCCTCACGACTCTCTCTTGGGGTGGGACGGTGAGTATGAGAGCGCGACACCTGGGCCCGACACCTACAGGGAGAGCACATGCTCCCCCGTGTGCTTGCAACCCCCTGGCTCTCTGCAGCCTCCAGCCTCTCATCACCTGTGACCTTCCAACATCCCCAGGGCAGTAGAGCAACCCCCCACTGGCTGCATAAGAAACCAAACCTCAGAGAACTTGAGGGGTTTGCTCAAGGTCACACAGGCAGCTGGAGGCAAATCTGGACCCAACTTTTGAACAAATGCCTGTGGGAACTGACGGTGCTCACGAGGACGTGGGGCAATGGCCGCTCCCTTCACGGCTCGCTCTCTCGGGAGACCTTGGACTTCTAAACCTGGCCCTACAGTCTTTCACCTTAGTCCACTTTCCACCAAGGCTGGGGCTGCCAAAGACCCACCCAGGAAGTGTCCAGTTCAACCCAGATTCCGACCAGAGCCTCTGTGTGCCTGGCAGGGTGTGGGCACTAGGAATCCCCCAGGGGACGGCCTGATATGTGTTCTTTGGCTTGCAGCAACTGAGGGTACTTGAAATCAGAGGAAACATTCACAAGTTAGTTTTTTGACTGTGTGCATTTGTGGGAAGCTATAATCACCAATCGTCTTCTTGAATATACGCTTGTTAAGGACAGGGAACAGGGCTTAGCATATAGTAGATGCACAATAAACGTGTGTTCAATGACTAGCGGGTCTGGCTAGTTCCCAGTCACCCATGGGGAGAAGACACAGGCAAGGGCTTCCTGCCTGGAGCCACACTCTGCTGGGCAGGGAGGCTGACCCCTTGGGAATCTGGGGCCAGGTGATCAGAGGCTGCTTAGAAATTGGGTCCCCATCACCCTCTCTGAGTTTGCCACCACACCTGCCCACACCACAGCCCCCTCCCTGGGCCATGCTTACGTGCGAGATGTGGGACTGTGTCTTCTCACTCTCGCCATCCCCCTCTGTCTTGTCCGCCAGCAGCCCCTGCACTTGGTACTCAAGCACGTAGCTGTCGATGAAGCGCTCCAGCTCCTCAATCTCCTGGGAGCGGCTGCTCCCAGCCTCGGAGGAGGCGGATACTGCTGAGGAGTTCTCCATCCCTCCAGCTCAGGGCCCTGGACGGGCTGTGGGAGAGAGGACAGACAGCTGTGTGAGACACTGCTGGAAGTGGAGGGGCCCCCACTTGAGAAGAGCTCCCCATTCTTGGAGGCCTTCACCATGGCATCTTGGGCTCCCAGCCGCCCTGTGACTCCAGTGGGCTGACAGCGCCTTCAGTGTGACAAATATGCTATAATTCCCAGATGGAATTGGCCAACACAGTAGCTTGTATGGTCAGGTCAGTCCTTACCTGGACCTTACCTCCTGGGAAAAAACAGGAGATAAGCCCGCTTGAGGAAACAGTCTTCCTTAACTTGAAGTTAATGAAATCCACCAGAAAGCACAATAAAACAGACATCAGGCTTTCATGTTGCTGACCCACGTGTTAGAATGTGCCAGGGGGTTCCCAGACCACCCCTCCACAGGGCCTGTGTCCTCCAAGAAAATGCCTCCTTCCAAAGAGACTATTCCTCTTCGGACAGCAGCCTCTCCCCTTAACCGGTCAGTGGATACCTGTAGACCGTAAGCTGCAAATATGACTTTGCACCCTTGTCGGGGTACAGCTGCAGGAACACGTGCCCCCCAGTCGGCAGGGAGAGAGCACTGCTATCGCTCTCTGCTCAGACCGGGTGGGCCCAGCCACTGCCGGGGCCCCATGCTCCTTGTCCCCTGCAAGGGGACCTTGGAAGTAGGAAGAGCTGGAAAGGTTCTCACTCCTACCTCCCTTCTCAGCAGGAACTCTCCTCCCTCCAGAAGGCTCTAAGCCACGTGGGAAGGGACTTTACAGCTTGTCTGGCATCCCTTTCATTGTCTGCTAAGCTGAGATGCCCATGGGGCCCACCTGGCAGAAGGAAACAGCTGCAGGGGCTTCACCATCTGACCTAGTGCAAAGGTCTTCCACCCACCAGCACCAGGAGAGACACAAAGAAGATGAGAACAGCACATGCTCAGGACGGAGACCGCAAAGGCTGGGTGTGCCGAGCGCGTTGCTATGATCGTAAAGGCAAGGTCCTAGCAGGTTTAAAGGCACATTGGAATTTCAAAACCTTCTATTACTGAGGCTGTTTCTTGGAGCACAGACATTGGCCTCCAATCAAGAGTCTGTTGAATTTTTAACTGTAACGGATCTAAAACAGGGCAAGGAATAGTCTGTTAGGTTCCAGAAATGCTGCTGACACTGTGAATGTTAACTCCTCAAACCTTTGCTGAACTTCTTGGAGGCTGGTGCTGGTGACGGGGAGGGCACACTGCCCAGGGAAGAGGATTGCCTTGGTGGCAGTTTCACTGGCCTCATGACTCCGTTTTGTCTGCTGGCTGGTGCAGGGCACAGCCCCCCTTTTGGCCTGCTCCAAAGGCTGCCTGAGCCAGAGCCCAGCCCCATGGAACAGCATGGTGCCATGGGAGGCACATTCTCTGCTCCTGAGCTCCTAGGGGCTCGTGGGTGTGTCTCGCCACGCCAGAGGAAGGAGTCTCAGGTGCGGGCCTGGTGGTGCTCTCACCCGAGGTAGGGAACCCAGGTGTGGAGGCCAGCATAGCAGAGGGCATGTATACAGTGGGCTCAGACCGGAAGAAGGGTAACTAGGGGTGCAGGGACACAGTTGGAGGTGGGGATGGCTGAAGCATATCCTCTCCATGCAAGGCCCACAGGCCCAACTTCCCTTCTACCAGTAGTACCCAGCTTCCCCCACTTCTAATGGCTGCTGTGCCGTGCTGTGCTCTAGCACCCCCTGGGGGCATGACCTGGAACATGCCATGTATGGTAGAAAGAGCCCTAATAGTGCCCTGGGTGTATACTCCCTCCCCAAGTTATTCAGTTAAACATGACACTAGGCCTTTCTGGAAAGGGTTTTACAGATAAATTCTACAACAGTGAACCTCATGAAATGAGACTATTCTGGAGGGCCTGAGCTTAGCACTGAGGCTCTAGGGACTTGAGGTTAAGATTGGAAGCCTGTTGCTGGCTGAGGGGATGAGTACAAGGATTAGGGGTGTTTCAGGGGGGTCTCAGGGATCTGGGAGCAATTCTCGGCCAATTCCCAACAAGGCAAAGGTCACCTCAGTCCTACAATCATAATGAAGAAAATTCTACCAACTGCCTAAGAGCTGGGGAGCACATTTTGTCCCCTGTATCCCCCAGGCAAGAACTTGATTTTATCCTCATTTACAGAGCTGGAGATTGGACCATCAGAACTGTGACCAGATAGTCGGGTATCGTAAGCTGCTAAATTCATAGTACTTTTTACACAATAGTAGGAAACTAACAGGGTCTGTCTCGGTCTGCTTCTGCTCGCACTGTGCCTCTCCCAGAGACCCTACCCCCTCCCTCACCCACCACATCTAGGGGCCTTCAGACTCACAGAATGCCAGAGCAGAGGGGTAGAGGCCATCTGGCAACTAGCCCAATCCCCTGGCTTAAGGGTGGTGTAAAGAGCAAGAGTCACCAGCCTTGGACACTGGACATGAATATAGTGATGTCAACCTAGAACTGGCTAAGTGTGATCCACGCCCCTGTCATGCACCAGTACCCTTCTCAGCACGCAATGTGCTTTCGCCCACTTACCCCATACAACAACTCGATGAAGCTGGTTGACCATACTGCTTAGAAGAGTGAGGTTCAGAGAGGTTAAGTAATCTGTCCAAGCTCACACAGCAGAACACCAAGCCTGCTGACTCCCCTTTGCCTCTTCATCCCACCTCCTGGTAGCCTGCTCAGGCCCTCAGACATCTCCTAGGCCTCTCTTCCCCACTGCCTTCCCATCATGCAGTGAAGCTTCTGGTGCGGAACTGCAGCCCTGGAGTGTCGGGCCGCAGGCCTACCTCAGCGTGGAAACCTAGCCACCTCAGCAGGCTGGGTGAAGTCCAGAGAGGGTTGAAAAGGAGCCACCTGTAGGAAAAGCCAGGGCCCAAGGCCTTGCCTGCTATTCCTCAAAGACGGAAGATCTTATCGAGGGCTTCCTAGCACCTTTGCAGGTAGAGGCAGAGGCCTGGGTTTGCAGGAACCCAAAGGAGAGTTTCCCTGCAGACAGGTGCTCTGCCCACAGCAGCAGCTCTGTGCTGCTCTGCTGGGCTGGCCAGTCTTCAGGGTGCTCTCATGGGGCCACACCACAGTTTTGTGAAGGAAATGGGGAGCAATAACTACCCCAAACCTATATGAGCGCTCCAGCAAGAAGTACAGGCATAGAGACCCACCCCTTGCTGGATATTGGTGTCCAGAGAAAAAAGGAAGATGCCCTGCACAGGTCACATGCCTTGCGTGCTTCCCCCTCCAGGCACTGCTGCCCATCAGATTCACAGGTGTAGCCTGACCGCGCCTCACCTCAGTTGCCCCAGCCTTCTGCTGGGGCCTCATCTAACACAGGCTGGCAGATACCTGCAGAACCCACCTACAAAACTCTTTGCAGGTGCAAAGAGCCAATGCCCTTGGCCAGGGCAAACAACACTTCTTTGGTCCCCCAGATGACAAATGAGGCGCGTTCTTCATGGTCCTTGAGCAGGTCCCAGTAGGCCAAGCCCAGTTATCTGCGCTAGTGACCAGGCCCACAACGCCCCCTGCTGGGCTCACCATCTTCCATGTCACTCCCCTCAAGGACACTTGTCACTGAGGTGTTTCTGGAAGTCTGCTTTCCCAAAGAAAGCCAGGCTAACAAGTCACTGGGGCTCACTGTATGTTCCAGAATGAGTCCCTGTCAAGAAGCCGGGAGGCCAATCCTCAGCAGGAAAGCCCAGGCGTTACCTCCATACAGAGAAGAGGGTGGAGGAAGGACAGGGAGACAGACCTATCCTCATCTCCTCCACACCAGGCTGGGATTGTCAGGCACTCATGTCCCTTATTTCTACTGTGGTCAAATATACATGACACAAAACATCCTGTTGTCACCATTTTTCAGTGTACAACTCGGTGGCCCAGAGCTACTTACCACCACTGCCATGAAACCATGACTTCTACCTAATCCCAGAAATGTTTTTTCTTCCAGAACAGAAAGTCTTTGTCCATTAAACAACTCCCCACCCAGGACCTTGGCACCCACGGTCCATGTCCTGGTCCCATGAATGTGTCCATTCAGGGGGCCTTACGGTCCTCATGTGGGCATTTCACCAATCCCAGTGTTTTCCAAATTCATCCATTGGCAGCCTGTGTCAGGCTACACACCTCCTCCTGGCTGAAGATGAACTCATGTGCATAATACTCTGGGCCATGGGCACTCTCTGTTCCTCCACTCATCTACCCAAGATATTTGTATGGTGTCCCCATCACCATTGTAACTAATGCTGCTCTGAATAAGAAAGAAGGGACTGGAGTTATCACACTCCCAGACTTCAAACTATACTATAAAGCCATAATAATTAAGACTGCATGGTACTGGAACAAGAACAGACATACAGAACAATGGAATCAAATAAAAAACTCAGATATAAATGCACCGCTTTATGGACAGATAATCTTTGACAAAGGAGCAAAGAATATGCAATGAAACAAAAGAAAGTTTGTTCAACAAATGATGCTGGGAAAGCTGGGCTGTTAATGTGCAAAGAAAAAAATAAAGCTAGATCACTACCTCACACCATACACAAAAACCAACTCAAATGGATTAAAGAACTAGACATAAGACCTGAAACCATAAAATATATAGAAGAAAATATCGGTGAAACACTGCATGACATACACCTCAGTAACATCTTTAAAAATACAATACCCAAGGCCCTCCCTGGTGGCGCAGCGGGTTAAAGCGCAGCACTGAGAATCTAAAGCCACTTCCGCATGAGTTCGATCCCTGCCTGCCCCGGAGGTGACCACATGGCGCAGCAGACCTCTCCTGACCCGCCCGCTGCCCCCGTCAGCAGTGTGCTTCGTCGATCTGCCTGTTCTGTTCTCCACTCTGTCTCTGGTGAAGCCTCTCACTGCCCCGAGCCTCTGGCCGGTGCCCCAGTTCTGTATGCACAAATAAATAAATCTTAAAAAAAAAAAAAATACAACACCCAAAGCACAGACAGTGAAAGAAAGGGCTACATCTTGCGGCAAGATCAG